AGATGAAAGCCGCGTTTATGGTATAGAAGCATCTTCCTTCATACTAGCATGTTGCTTCTCAGCATCTTGTCTTTTTGTTTCTCCTACACGTTGAAAGTATATACAATTTTGGGGGGAAGGATAGAGGAAATACACTAGAGATATCTCGAAAATGCTACTACTTAATTTAATTCTTTGAATTAATTGGTTCGAAGATACCGAACAAATGACTCAAGCACAAACCCTTCTATGGGTACATAAAATAATTGAGTACATTAATTGTACATGAACAAGATACTATCTCAATGCACTAATTTAATGACCTCTACGTATACAAATTTTTTGAATAGGAAGATCTATTCAACAATGTAGGTGCATAAATTATGATAACACAGTCAACAACTTAAATGGTTTGGTAGTAATCTATTTTTAGTGAAAATAAGAAATTTTGAATTTGAATCGCATTATACATAAGTGAAGTGAGTTAAACGATTGAAGAATGTTATTTTTTATTATACAATCTAAAGTAATATTTATATATAGTAATACAGGAACTTAAATTAAAAGGTTAATTAATGATTCAAGTTTAGTTATCCAACACCCTATTTGGAGGGCTGTTCTTAATTACTATCCTATAAGCATTTTAAGTTTGAAATTTTTTTTAAGGAAAATGAGAATTTTAAATAACAAAAGTATTATAAGGTCCCATTGTTTTTTTGGGCCGATTATTTCGGCTTTGCTGACCAAAAACTAAAAAGAACAAAACCCAAAGCCCATTGTTTCTCTCAAAAATTGATAAATTGATACTGCAACTGAACCCAGACCAAGGCCCAATTAGAGACCCACAAATTTGCCTCTCTTCCTTTTGCCCTGCTTCAATGAGGCTAAAACCAACATTTAGCCCCTCAACTTATAAAATTGATAGGTTTTAACCCCAAACCTTATAATATTACACTTTTAACCATTTATCTTATATAGTTGGTAGGTTTTAGTCCCTCACCTTATATTATGACACTTTTAACCCCTTATTTGTACAAATTGAAGAAAACAGCCCTTATTTAACATTAGATTTTAATGTTTTATTAGTTCTGTTAACTGACTGTCAGTTCTATTAGTTAATTATTAGCATCCGTTAGCATTCCGTTAATAAAACTAACAAATAAAATTGAATTTAAATTTCATATTTTTTATAACGGAATGTTAATAGATATTAACAGTCGACTAAAGAACTAATAAAACGTTATAACATGATGTTAGGTGAAGGTTATTTTCTTTAATTTGTATCAGTGATAAGTTAAAAATATCATAATATAAGGTAAAAGGTTAAAACCTACCAATTTTGTAAGGTGAGGGGCTAAAACTTATCAATTTTGTAAGTAAAATGTTAAAATTGTCATGTTATAAGGTGAGGGGCTAAAACTTATCAATTTTGTAAAATAAAGGACTAAATGTTGGTTTTTGCCCTCCAATGAAAGGTAACTGCAAATTTATTTTATTTGTACTTTTTTTTAAAATTAACATCACAAAATTTGATATTATTAAATGTAAAGTTTCTTTTATTAAATAGTTACAAATGTCATCAATTTGAAATTTAACATATATGATTTACATAAATAAAATAATTATAAACAGGCATAATTTTTTTTTTTTATTCTTACGCATGTAAATAGAACAAGTAAAAATCAGGATAGCAAACCATATAAGTATTTGTAACATAAACACAACCATATATGATACAGAGGGTCATATATACAAAAGTTCACAAGAGAAGCTATATCAGACAAGAATTAATTACGATGGATCTTAATAATTAAGCACATCCATGACATAACTAGCCATAAACACTTACAAAGCATCATAAAATGAGAACATAAAAATAACAGATCACTGTCATCAAAAGTGAAACCACTCACAGTAGTTTAGAACAAGTTTGTGAAGCAATGGTTGTCAACTAGACTTTTCTTTCGCCCCTCGGCGTTCCTTGATGTACCTTAAAAAGCGATGGCATATTTGGTACCTAGATGTTTCACACATTTTTATCAAAAATTAATATAATAAAGTTTGAAAAGAGGGGAGAAAAAATTAAAAGAAAAATAGATAATTACCTTTTTACAATTGACCAGTAGTCTCTATTAACAGAGGATCCTGCACTCTCCAAGTTTGGGAGTATTGCTGGGAGTATTGCTGCTTCTGGGAAGTAAGCAGTGGATTGTAATATTGATGATGAGGATAGAGAGGAAGATTGAGATTCCAAAGGGCGGCTATTGTTGAGGCTGACACTACCCACTTCCAACTTCTCAAGATTGTCATCATGATCCTCAGTTTTTTTCTGATAATAACAGGTATTGGATAGATATACGAACATAAATAAGGCACATAAGCTCATAAATGCCAATGTTCGAAAGCATTTGTCTAATTGGCTATTTTTGATCCATGTAACCTTCCCTCTCTTTTCGATCTTCTCATCAATCCAATTTCTAGAAACTAGAATACATACCACAGCTAACAATCGTCCCATTCCTTCCACAAAGCCATTGAATGTGAATTCCAAATGATGCATGGATTGATCTGGTACTTGGTCACAGAAGTATTCTCCCAACTTTTCTTTAACCATTTCGTTCATAATTCCTAACAAGATAAACTGTAGAGTGAAGGTAAATGAGCCTTCTGATTTTCTTTTAGCCTGAACATGCCAAGCGTCAATGCAGAGCAAAAAACAAACCAACATCCCAAAAATAATCTTCGCTAGCCTAATGCGCTGTTGTACTTGTTGGTTTACCTTGCTACAAAACTTTATGATTACATAATCAATTAAACGCGACACTATGATTCCAGAAAATTTCTGTATTATATACAAATAAGCTTCATAATCAAAGAAGACGCTACCTGCCGCATCAACAACATAAAATATAAGGAAAGGTGCCCACAGAGGGAGTAACTTCAGAAGCGGCCTTAATTCATGCTTTTCCCCTTCATGATCTCCTGAAGATACCTCATAACGTTTGCTATAATAATAGACTGATATGCAACCAATTCCCACCAAAATTGCTGAAATAAAGAGCTGTGCACTTGTTGAATAACTTGATATCAGCAGCCCGCCCATAAGGGCCCCTGCTAATCCTGCTATAAACCACCAAGCATCTATAACCAGTTTCGATTGATTAACTGCTGGTTGATCTGTAACTTGTTCCGATTGATTAACTGTCGGTTGACCTGCAACCTGTTCTGATTGAGTAACTGTTGATTGATCTGTAACCTGTTCTGATCGATTAACTGCCGATTCATCAATGAGAAACTCGTCCATATAATTTTCTGCTGAAATGCCCACTGATAAGAGTGCCAATGCCAAGAAAAACAAAATCGAAGACTGATGATGAAACCGTAGCATCAGCATACCCTAACACAAGAACGATGAACATGTTACAATGACATGTATATTGAAACACTTCTTCGTAACCAAAATTTTAGGAAGTTCCAATTAATTTGAAATTAACACTTATGAATCAATGTGAATAGGATATTTAATTGAATTGTTGATTTTTAAAAATTTATTGTTTTTAAACCTTTAAAAAAAATAAGGTTTTAAGTATTAAAAAAAGTTAAGAGGACAACTACACTAACCTCTTTTTCTGTACATGTTAGAATTAAATAGATTTTTAATTACAACTTTTAATAACTTTAAAATATAGTTCTTTTAATTAATTAACCAGAGGGATTATATATATGATTCCAAAAGAAAAATGAACTTACAGCGATGAAAATTGCATGATTGACTAGAATCATTCTGACTGGACGTACGCGTTGATGCGTTGCGTATGCTAGGATACTGGCCAAAAATGCTGAGAAGCA